GTTTACTCGTGACAGACATGTCTGGTGGCGAAAGAACGGGGCATTTCTGAAGACACATTTCAGTGTAAGGTGCACGTACAGATATTCAATTCTCCTCCTTGACCCCAATTCTTGTGAGGAATGCTGAACATATCTACACAAAACGTCCCAAAAATACGTGTATACACATTTGATGAACAAAATAAAGGAATTTAAATAAACTAAACCTTTACATGCGTCAGAAATGGCACTAAGAGAATCAGGGAAACTGGTGCAGGTATTCAAAATGATAATAGACCATGGCTTCCGTAAACACAACACGCGGGGATCGATAATAAGGTCAATATTCCGTATTATAATGTTTATACATCTTTTTGGGGCATTCTGTATCATGAATGTTGGTTGCATTATCATTTGCTGATAAGGGATTTAGGGCTTTGTGCGATAATATTACGCGTTACCACGTAAATAATGTTAACGGAGCCTTACTCTCTGCATTATATTCTGCAGAAAGCAGCAAAATCTGATAAAGCTCACTGTTTCTAATCTGGGCAAGAAATTACATGAATTTTATGGAAATAAAACCTTGTTCATAATAGCATGTTACTGGGCCCTGTCCTAAGCCAGTTAACAACCAGTCCAAACCCCCCACTCAGTATTTCTTTAGGATTCACTTTAATATTATCTGCTCGTATAGGTTTAGATGTGTCATATTCCCTCTTTGATGCATATTCGGAAAACAGTTTTCTTGTGTTTCGTTAAAGATTCGCCACACTGAAAAAGTAATATTCTTCATAAAGCCGAAATCAAACTTCATCGAATTTCTCAAAAGACAGTATAAAGCACAGATATTAAGACCCTACACTTTTTATGTGGTATTATTCAGTCTCTACCGTCAGCAAAGAACACACTATGGGCCCTTACTTATGTATTCATCTGTCTTATTGTTTTCCTAAAAACTAGGCAACCGACATGAGCCTTCTTAGATATTGCGCCGTCGAAGTTTACGGGCGTTTCAGAGGTATTTACTGCCTTCATCAATAGATTCTTCGCCCTGATGATGGAGACAGTAAGCACCTTTGAAACATCTGTCAACTTCTATGAGACTACATGGCGTCATGACCCACAAAGCCCCAGTGTTGGAGGCAGAAAGGACATCTAAAACGTTGATAAACGTCTACTGCACTACACGGCGCTACAACCCAGAAGACACCTAGTTTCAAACTTTATGCGATATTGTAAGTAATTCAAGCACAAGGACAAGTGATTCCTGACTTTATACGACGCAGACATAGTACAACAGAAGAAGAACATCACTACCAACGAGTGTACCAAACACTTAAAGCAGATCGCATTAAATGTATTTAGGACCAAACTCAAGTTACTGGAAACAAGCGGAAAGTTACAAACTCTCTTAATGACAAGTTAGACTAATTTATTCTTAATACTGTTACTGTTTATTGTTATATTAACTTCATGATGATGTGATCTTAAACCTCCATTATTTTCTTGTCGGTTTTAAATTAGCGATAAGTGCATATAGATGGCTGACTAATTGTTTTATAACTTCATATCAATAAATTTATACAGCAGTGGACACATTACAAAAAAACTGTAATCAATACACAACATCAATCCCTTTTTTTGCAGCAACGGGAAGTTTTTCTCCCCTCAGAAATGGGTTGCCATCCTGTAACATAAACCCACGTTTCTGTTTCAGATTGTAAAGGGCAGTAGAAAATCATGGAAAGCGTCGAATAAATATTTACATACAAACACACATTATATTTATAAATATTTACGAAAGGCGAGCATTTCAATAAGAATGTTCTTGAAACAACTTGTAATACTTCAAAATACTGATATTTCGGCAAGATTTTGCCATTGTTTGTGTGGGCCTAATGTTACAGACATCTACCGAAACCAGAACCACGTCGGAGCCCTCAGAATACTTCTACAAACCAAATTCCATTCTTTTTAAGTAACTATGACTGACATATTTAACTCTGTATTAATATTTCTACTTGTCTTGATTTATACCTCTATCTAGGTTAGGTGGATTTTCGTGGTAATCCTCCGAGCACAGCAAACACCGTTAAAGCTCCTTAAAAGATCCCACGACCACTTCATATCAAATACCCCTCGGTCTGTCATTGACAATCATCTCACTGTGCCTCACTCTAAGTTACGTAAAATAACAAAACACAATTCTGAGGAACCACGAACTACACGGCGATCGAAAGTCCTTATTACATTTTCGTGAACTTCTTCAACTAAATACTGGGATGCTATCCTGCAGTAGGCCACAGTCGATGTATTCAACGTCCGCTGTAATTCAATGGCATCTTGGCTGTGGTTAAATGCAGTGAACCGCTAACTTGCGTCTACTGACTGGCGGTATCAGATCTCTTAAAGTGACTGACGCAGCGCTCAAAAACCTGTTTCTAAAATATATTTACGTAATACCTCTCACATTACATACCAAAAAATTCTGCCTATTCAGACAAAATCTTATTCAAATAAATACATACCGTACAAAATTACAAATAAATATGATCATCTGGTTCTTTCGCCACTTACCTTTTCAATGTGAAATTTCTTTGCTACCGAGCTCCTGTGTTGATCTTCAACCTAAAACGAATACGAATTTATTACGCACCACAAATCCGCATAGACACTTTCGTGTCTCTCTTTATTCCAGTGGTAACTGCTTCTCGTAATCTTCGAGGTAGATACCAGAATAACATCTTAAATTACGTTACGATCTCTAAATTCTTATCAACTCCTAACCCAACTGAAATACCGTCAATTGTTTGACGCAGAAAGGGAATAAGCGACATTTTGTGATTCTTTGTTTTTGTTTTGACGGCGATGGGAATGAAAATGTTGATTTCGGTTTCGGTGCTGTGTAGACTAGTCTCAAATGCCAACGTTTCAGAAAAAGTATTTTGTCTCCACCGTCAGGGTTGAAAATCTTTAGCTTCTACCGACGAGTGAACACGACGCCAAAACCCAGAACAACATCAAGTGACATCCTGTATTTTTCTCTACCTATCAAATGGATGACGTAGGTTGGGGAAGATAGCAGATACCTGTATCTGCTGCATTATGCGATCGAGATCGGTGTCCGACAGCTCGTTTCCGTCGGCGGGTGACTGGATCACTCTGCCGATCGAGGACGGGCAGTCGAACATGTGTTCCGAATCGCACATGCAGTCCTGGGCGCCCTGGTACTCGCGGCTGAAGCCTGCCGTGTTCTCGAACTGCTCCAAGCAACCGTCCTCCACCGCGTAGCCCACGGGACAAGGATTTGGCGGGTTGCAGTACGCGGGCAGCGCTGCGTCTGTCTTTACCTCCTTCGTGTTCTTGACCGTTCCGTCGGGCTTGAGGTGCTGCTTGCCTTCCCCGGCGCCTCCTTGCAGACAAACCACACGCCAGGAACTTGTCGTGATTCCCCATTAAAATACTAATTATCAGAGTCTAGTGTGCAGATTAAGAACCGGTTCAGTCTTACGGGGTTCTGACGATGGTATAATGAAATTAATATTACTCGATTTTTGAAATTGGTCATAATCTAGTATTTCCCATAAAACATTTATTTTTGGTAGCAGGATCTGTTTCTGTATTAAAGTAAAACGGTGAGGAGTATCTACACGGTTGATTCCCTTCGAAAGAACTAACCTCTAAGACACCGGACGAACGTCGTATTCTTTTAAGAAATCTAGAAGCATAACAGAATTCCAAGGACATTTTGTTTGTGATCGGTCTATTTATGTCTCTACCTGCCACATACTGGTGACCCCACAGCGAACTGTGTTGCAGGTATTCTTGGTCCCGGATACTAGGGTTCGGATTCCCTGCATCTCCCAGGGGATCGTAATCCATAGGGAACTGTTGTTCTTCAGTCTCAAGGTCCTTCACGTTACGTCCTCGCATCATAGCTCCCAGAGGTATTCTGTGAAACAAACAGTACTGCTAACTGTTTAACGATATCTCATTTTCAGATATTATAATAAGAATCTTGTGTGCTGATGACTTCTTCTGGTATCTTCAGCTGGACCAGGTGATAGCAAGGAAGCCAATGCGAGAAGAGTTGACCACATCCTTACCAGGCGGAGTGGAACAACAAGTGTAGTTGGATAGCAAGGAAGCCAATGCGAGAAGAGTGGACCACATCCTTACCAGGAGGAGTGGAACAAGTGTAGTTGCAGTGTTGTGTCACTAGATGTTAAAATAGGTGGTACATATAGTTACCACTACCAATTGGAATATTAAATGAGGAGACAGGAGAAGTAATGGTCGTCTCTTCACCTGTTTCGACGAAACATAAATTGCGCACTTCCAAAAATCTGTTGAGAAATCAAACAGTACCTGTTCGTTTCGGGAAAATCGAGGTATGTGCCCGTATCGTCGGCGAAGTCCTTGCTCATTCTGTCAACAACCTCACGCAGAATAACGTCGGTCAGGAAGTGGTCCTGGGGACAGAGTTGATCAAAAATAATTAATTACAATTAATTCCGTCAAATGTTATCAACCGATATGTTTCAGCTGAGGACATTTACGTAAAAAAATTCGTGCCTTGCTGTAGTTTAGATCGCTTCAGTAATTGTAATTTATAAATTCACTCAATTTGTCGTCGGAAGCTGGCCGTACAGCTTTGAAGGATGCGATGAGTAACAGACAATGAACTGTAAAGGATAAGGACGGAAGCGGCCGTGACCTATTTTAAGGCATTACTGGAAAATGAAGAAAATCAGTAAGATCGGATTTGAACCCAAGACTTCCCGAATAACACAAGCGTGCTCACCTTTTGACCACAACGTTTAATATTTGTGGAAAAATAACTGATCAGATTAAAGGAACAATTAATGTTAAGAGGATTCGTATACTTTGCATTAAAAAAATTCTATTAAATTTGGTAATGGTCTCTATGCAAAACTGAACTGGACAAATTTAACTCTGATACAACATATATCGAAATTATAGATTTTCTTAAAAAATATTTCTTGTATAAATAGTTGAATCTGGAGATAAAATGTTGAACTCAGTAAGATCTACGATCTTTATTTTAAACTTCTATCGACGCAGAGAATAATTAATACAATCAATCAAATAAAATGCTTTCACTGTAAAGTCAGTAGTTGGAACTAAAGATTTGCATCTACCAATGTGAACATTTAGACAAAACGGAGTTGAAAAAAAATTACACAAAATAATTATAATTTACGTATCTAGCTATCACCTTTTCGTGTGGAATATACGCAGTTACCCCGATCGCCATTACCGCCATGGTGATCAAAGTAAACTGTCCCATCGTTGCTTTCCCCTGGTGATTCTGAAACAAGATTAAGAAATGTTAGCAGAGGTTGTTTGAATACTGGTTTATTTAATGACGTTTACTCAGTTTCGTGGGTTATACAGAGCCCGAATAACACAGAGAAACCGTGGTTAGACGACCGATGTCAAGAAACTAAGCAAAAATACACCCTTTAAATAAATAAGTGAAAAAACAAAAGTTAAAAGACGAAAATCAGGACCAGTCAAACAAAACAAATGGAGAGGAAGTGCCTAAGCTACAGTAAAAGCAATGGTCAATAAGCCATTGTCAAAACCAATTCAAAATGCCAAGGTCGGAACACAAACTAAAAAATAACGAAGTTGAAAAACGAAAGTCAGAAACCAACGACTAAGATTCAAAGTGAAAGACGGAGGCCAATAGCAGAAGTCAAAAATCCATGATCAAAAAATATATAAAAACCAACGCAGGAACCATCATAAAAAACAACTGAAGCAAACAAAGATAAGAAACCAAACCTAAACGTTAAAGTCATACATCATTTCAAAATTCCTAAATCGGAATATAAAACTCAAAAACCTGTCAAGAATGAAAACTGAAAACCAAAGTGGCATGGGAAAAAAAATAGCCCAAAAACAAAAAAGTAGTGAAAAGGCCGAACACGAAAACGAAACTCAAAGAACTCAGGTCAAAGAGCGAAATGTTAAAAATCCAAAGTAAGAAAACGCATTCTAACGACGAATTTTAAAGAAGAAACAATTAAACAGAAGAATTAAATAAATAAATAAGCGGAAGTCGTGAAATCCAATTCCAAAAACTAAAGGTCGAGAAATCAAATTGAAGGAAGCAGTATCTAAGAACATGCAGGTAACTGTCTATTACAATGACAAATTATGTTATAAACTATTAAAATACAATACATACACATTTAGGGCATTTTAAAATAGAACGAGCGCTAAATATTTCTTCCATAAGATTTCTATTCCAATAAATATAAGATCCACTTTTCCCTTTCTAAAAGTAAACTGGTGTTTAATTTAATGTCCCTGCGAGAAAATAAAAACACGAGTCACAAAACATTCACAGAAGTTAAAAACGTCACTTGCTTCATGCATCAAAGCCAAATTTAATCAACGTCATGAGACGAAAGAGAATGAGAAGTTACACTTACCCGTCGGCGGAACGCAATATGGCGACAGGCAGATCAATGCAGCCAACACCTACTCCGGGCCCAGAATGCGACGGTATTGATCGAGACGCTGCCGACGGACCGTAGATACGCTCTGTTACTCCCTGCGCCATGTTCGGTCACAATCCTTAATAATACTCTGTATTAAATTCATCCAGTGCCTCAAGGATGCATTGGGATCACAGAGAAGACTTCAAGTTGAAAAATTTCTTCTTTAATATTTTCAACTAGACTTACATATATCAGTCTTGCCCAAATCGAATAATATTCGTAGCACTACAAAGTCTTCACCTTTGGTATTATCGAGAAATTACATCCTACAGTCACCATACGAAAAATCAAACATATTGAAAACGAGCAAAATATTTTTAGTTGCCCTTCTGTTTTGGTACATGCAGTTGCCACTACGGTTAAAAGCGTTAAAGGAGACGGCAAAGTATATTTAGGTTTCCGCAGAATTACCATGGACCGTACGTTCGTACTCCGCATCGAAACACAACAAATACGTACGATAAATTCAAATATACTTTATTTTTATTTATTTTTTTGCAAGGAGATTTAAGAATTGAAGTAGGTGTCCGAAACCAAAGGGTTAAAATTATTGCATGTAATAATTAATACTGCTAGACAGTTTTACCATTTACTTTTATTTCAATTGAGTCAATTCTCAAGAACAATAATGAGGTCGAAACAATTAAGGTAACACTCCGTAACTGTAATGTCCATAAAGAAAATCATTGTAATAATTCTCAATAAAAATTCAAATTCACATGCGTCTAGTTTCATTTTATCAGAAAAATTCGTCAAAAAAAATATTATTTACATTAAGACTCAAAATGGCTACCAACAACTAGAAGACATCGAAATTCACACCGAATAACCTTGAAACCTCTCCAAGATGCCATCTGGTGGGAGAGGATAACACTTACAAAGTGATCTTCTCTACAACGTGTTTATAAAATCATTCGATGGATGGCGCAGTTATTAACAAAATATATACCCACAAGATGCTGTGTGCATCTCTAGTGCTTTATTAAAGTTCACAGTCTGTGGTAGACTTTGGTGTATTATCAATTATTATTATTGTTTAAAATAATAATTATCGTCTTTATTATCATCATCATCACTACCACCACCACCACAACCTGGATCTTCAACATTAATTGCAATTTAATATATACTCTTGAGATTTATAACCCGGAAAGGCTTACTGTTGAAATTAAGTCTGCTCTTTCTTATTTACGTATACAGAATGTTTTATTATTATTTCTTTCTCCTTCACGTTCTTCAAGTTGTTCTACTTTAAGTTCTTCTTCTTCACATTTTTCTTCTCTCACTTCATTATCGTCTCCTCATCCTTCACGGTTTTGTTCAATTTCTTCTCCTTACGTTCGTAATCTCATTCACAATCTTCTCTTTTCTGGTCCTGTTCTTGTTATCTTGTTCTGTATTTCACGTGTCACTATTGTAGCCTCTTAAGACTCAAATTTAATTGCCTAAACATTCAATCGTCCCTAGCATCTACAGGTTAGCTCATCGCGACCCTCTGATATCAAAATACGACACAAAAACACTGACATACGTTGTTACAAAGATTCGTATCAGAACTCTCTACCCCATCGTGTGCGCGGCCACACGGCTCGACACCCCTGAATATCTACATCCCTTCTAATGACCAACAGTCAGATCTGCTGGAATATCATCCTTACAGTTGCAAAGCACTGCTTTCAGTCAAGAGTTTTATTTACCCTCACTTGTATTACAGTCAAAATTTTATAAATGCGTTTTGAGTCGCCCTGTTACAACACAAGGACGTACTGAAGTTAATGTAATCACACACCAGTCAACCATAACTTATATCTATACATATAGGAGACGTAATCATTTCTCAGTTCATTGACCCAGGATGACCGTAGGACGACAGAAAATAATAAGGCAAAGGAGAAAGAAACGTGAGAGAAATTCCACTTAAATAAACCCGATTATAAGAAGAATGGTGTGGAAAAGAACGGGAACCCGGAAAATGGAAGTTTCAAAGCATAAAGGATGTAAGTTCTTCGTGCAGTTTATCAAAGCTCTGTTAAAAATCACGAAACAAATATCGAAAAAGTATGGCAGAGTCAGGCGGAAGTACGAAAAATACGCAGATATTTGTTTAAAAAGTTACAGAGTTTCTGTTAAAGACGTCAGTAATAATGAAGGAATAAACCGTGTCTATTATTGCACTTCAGGAAAATATAAATTAATCCACCGAAACTCTCAGTTTCAGACTGACGCACGCACAGAAAGAACGAATCAGCTGTTATACAGACGATCAAATATCAAACAACGTAAGAGAACGATATTTAGGAGGCCAACAAGGTTCACCTATGAATCCACAGACAGCGCAGGAAGGTCTTGTTAGGGCTCGCCAAATCCCGCAATACGGACTTCATTTCTTTGTTCCGTTCTCGTCACACCCGTTCTTTACTACGGATTTTTACTAATGGTTCTTACTCCCGTCTTCACAGCCTGATTTTTGATTTCGTTTTTCGACTTCGGTTCTTAATTCGGTCTTCTAAGATTGCTCATTCAAGTTTGTTTCTGTACTTGGCTTCATCACGTTGGATTTTGAATGCTGTTTCTGCTGCGTTTTTAATAGTGGTTCTTGACTACGGTTTCTGACCTTGGAATTTTCAATTATTTTCTTGAACTTAGTTTTATGACTTTGGTAAAAAGGTTCTTTGAATCTAATTCATATCCTTGACATAGAGGTTTTATTTGGTTTTGGTTTCTCTTCAAACAGCCAGACAAAAAGGAAATGTGAAAATACGAAACAAAAAAGAGTCAAGAAGCAAATTTAACAGACCGAATTCAAAAACTGAAGCAATAAAGCAAATTAAACAGCAAAGTCAAATAATAACAAACAAAAAATAGAGTAAATTCATTGCCATAAAGCCAATGACACTACAGAGTTTACTCTGCAGATAAAAAAATCTTCTGACTATATAACTGTGAATGTAATATTCTCTTATGCCGCTATAGCTCTGAAGTCGTCAGATTAAAAAATACGCAATTCTTAGAAAGAATCTCTAGGGAAACTCGCGAGCTCATAACACTCAACAGAAACAATCCGCGCCTCTAAATTCAATTGCGAGGCCTGAACTATCCAAATATTTACACTAGACTCTCTCTCTCTCAGAGGAATACGTTTTTATTATTTAGATTGAAAGTTCAGACGTTGTTAATGATCTATCCAACGGAAGAACAAAATGTTGCAAGAAATTTAAAGACAAAAAATGTTAAAGAAAGCATACGCAATAATTTCAAATTTACAATACGCAGTGTCAGTTCACATACATGCAATTAAGCCAATCAACAGAAGGAATGTGTTCTGGGTTTTGGGGCCATTGAGATAATAGTCTCCATCCTTAGGGCTTCACCCTGAAAATACGGCATCTACCAATGCGTCAACACTGCGCCAAAAGGAAAACAACAGAAGAACATCATCCTCCTAACCGGCCTAAAAACCTTAAACCCCATTAAAGAAAAAAAAAGTAATTTTTTTAATGCGAAAGTGTAGTGTTCGTTTTTTACCTGCTCCTGCAGATTCTGATGTACATTTCTTACGGTAAACAACAATTCCCAATCATGTGTGTACATATATAACTATGTATATGCGAATGTCCATTTTCCGTATGTAGCGCTGTCATGTCTACTTCAGACACTTTGAGCTGGACCGATCCACATAAAAAATGTTTTACCAAATGCCTAAACCGATTCATAATTTCAGAAGTTTATTCTGAATCCAAATAAACCAAAGGCGACAAACAGCAAAATCTAAAGGAGAAGACGCCAGGCAGTGTAATTC